TTCAATCTTCAATCTTTAATCTATCCCTTGAATATTCTGTCTTTCCATCTCTTTGGAAAGAATCTTATATCATTCCTCTCCACAAGAAAGGTGGAAAGTCTGATATACCAACTTAAAGGGTCCATTACAAAACAGTGCGCTGTTTTTAAATTATTTAAAAAAAATAATAACTTCGAATTCGCAGCATTTCTGAAAATCAGTTGTCTCCCCTGTTCAACATGGATTCGTAAAGAATCGGTCAAATACGACCAATCTGCTTGAGTTTACTTCCTTGGTAAATGATGCTTTCCTTTCGAAAATGCAAACTGATGTCATTTACACTGACTTCAGTAAGGCGTTTGACTCAGTGCACCATGACATTTTACTTTTTAAACTTGACTGAATAGGTTTCCCTCCGTCTCTTTTGTTTTGGATTAGTTCTCATTTAAAAGGTAGGACCTAAAGAGTAATGCTGAGGCTGACTTCCTCTAAACAGGTTCACATTACTTCTGGTGTTCCTCAAGATAGTCATCTTGGGCATTTACTCTTTATTTTTTTTTATAAATGATCTCCCCTCTGTTATATCACATGCCCGTGTACTCATGTATGCGGACGACGTGAAACTTATTCTATCATACACTAATCCCCTACATCATTCTCGGCTTCAAGACGATTTGAACGCTATGCAACTTTGGTGTTCGGCCAATCAATTGCATCTGAATTGTTCAAAGTGTATGTTTATGACATTTAATCGTATTACACCTTATCTTGTCAGTTATACAATCGACAATACTCCATTGCAACGTATACTAACAGTTAAGGATCTAGGCGTTCTTTTTGATTCTAAACTCTGCTTCAATCTGCACATAGATACTATCGTTAATAAGGCAAAGGGTGAACTTGGATTCATTAAACGATGGTCTAAAGAGTTTAACGATCCTTTTATAACGAAACTTCTGTACATCTCTCTTGTTCGTCCTATCCTTGAATACTGCTCTTGTATCTGGTCTCCGCAGTATAACAATAGCCAGGATCGTATTGAATCTGTTCAGAAGCAATTTCTGCTTTTTGCCTTACGACGTTTAAATTGGGACCCTAATCTTCGATTGCCATCCTATTCCAGCAGGCTGCTTATTCTTAATCTTCCGTCGTTAACCAACCGTAGGACAATTCTCGGTGTTGTCTTTCTACATAAGTTGGTTGTTGGCGATATAGATTCTCCTTTTCTGCTAGGGCGTCTTCAATTCTCTGTTCCGGCTAGACCAACCAGGAATTATCACCCCTTGTTCTTATCAACGTGCACAACAGACTACGCTATGCACAATCCTTTTCGCGTGCTATGTAAAAATTACAATAGTTTACGTTTTCTCTACCGAACTTTCTCTACCCCTCATAAAATCGTTGCTTTCAAGATACCTTCGGGAAGTCACTGACCATTCCCAGCAATGATCAGGGGCATAGCTTGCCGGACAGGCTGTAAATTTTCCCCAACCGGGTCGGTGATTTCCCATTACTTTCCCAATACTATCTCTTTATCCTATCTACTTAACACTCTATATATCTAGCATACAGTTCTTTACTTTCTTAACAATCTTCTTACTTTTTTTTCTCCTATTTATGGTATATTCTTAAATAATATAGCAAATTAAGAATATTTTTGATTTTACTTAAGAGCACTTTTTCCTACTTAAACCCTTTCTTCTTAGATGTAGGCTCTAATAGCGTCACTGACAAAATTAGCTGTGAATTAGCTGTGCACAGCTGGCCGGACTGGCAAATAAAACACCTCCATCGGTCGGTGATGCTGTTAGAAAATTGTGTTCTCTAACTAGGCTTTTAGCATTTAATTTTCATAATTGTATATATAATGTATTAAATAATTAGGAAGACACTCGTTTTGTCGACAATTAATAAAAAAAAAATAAAAAAAATAAATAAATCCATCACATGCGTCAGCTCGCCGCGCGATTCCAAAAGCCGCTAAGAGACCTATAACTAGTGAAGATCATAAAGCGTGGGTTGAAGGAAAGTCTGGCAAAATACATCTACGCCATCGATGTACTCACCGTGGATGAGCTGCGCCAAGAGTGCATAGAAGTGGAGAGGCACATTGGTCGCGGAGGCCGGACCGGGTACGTGCAGCAGTCACGTTATTCGCAAGGACCAAAACCGACTGTGCATGAGGTTGAAGATCACCCACATCATGCGGAATCGCCACCTGGAGAGCTGGAGGAGGCCTTCGTGCGAGGCAGGACATCATCCCGGCTAGTCTGCTGGAACTGTGACAGTTAGATCATGTCTTTAGAGACTGCCTGTCCAAGAAGCGGACGATTTTCTGCTACAGGTGCGGAAAGCCGGACACGTTCTGCTCACATTGCGAGAATTGTCCGGGAAACCCCAGAGGGAGCGCGATGATGGCGGGACAGACGCGTTCGAGTAGCACCTTCCAAAGCCAATAGTCATGGAAACGGAGCCGGATATAGACCATAAGGGCCAGGATAAGAATATTTGTAAGGAAATTAACAAAGGAAGAACATTAAGAGGCTTACCATACGAAGAACTTGTTCGGGCATACATGTCGGCCCGAAATAAAATTTTTGGTGAGCGACAATTGGAGGGGATGACGCTGGCCACCCGAAGGATGGTGAAGGCTAGAGCGCGCTTCCGTAGACGCAGAATGACGAGGCACCAGGTCATTGAAGCGGTGAAACGGGAGGATAGCCTAGACTCTCGCGTATTCGCCGAAATGGAGGTCGCGGGGTTCCAAATGAAAGGTTTGTTAGACATTGGAGCCTCGGTCAGTCTGCTGAGAAAATGATGTCGAGAATTAGTAGAAGAATTAGGGGCTACGGTGCAACCTTACGTTTCGGTAGTCACAACTGCTGGAGGTGAGGATAAAACGATCATAGGTAGGGTAGAACTCCCAATCTCGTACAGGGAGCAGCATAAAAAAATAAAGTTTTTTATCTGCCCGTACCTTAAGCAGCGAGCCTATTTTGGGATCGATTTCTGGCGAGCATTTAACCTGGCCATTGACATTTTGGGCCCCGAGAAGCTAATCTCCACGGAACACCAAAAGGATAGAATTGGAGGCGGTAAAGCAGGAGTTTTTGTCTTTTGAACGTAGCGGATTAGGGACGACGGACTTAGAGAAGCACACTATCGACTTAGTGGAAGGTGCCCAACCGTTCAAAGATAGACCCTACCCATTATCGGCAGCGATGCAGAAAGTAGTGAAAGTGAAAGTAGTAGTAGTGAGTAGTAGAAAGTGAAGAAGTCGACAAAATGTTGAGTTTGGGGGTTATAGAAGAGTGCAACAGCCCATGGAGTAACCGCACAACAGTATTGCGAAGACCGAGGATAAACCGATTTTGCCTCGATGCACGCAAGCTCAACAATTTGACGGTGAAAGACGCGTATCCACTGCCCTGTATAGAAGGTACCCTATCTAGAATGGACCAGACCCACTACATTTCCAGTGTGGATTTGAAGTTCGCGTATTGGCAGGTTGAACTAGGCGACAAAAGCAGGCCCTATACTGCATTTACAGTACAAGGTAGACCACTATACCAGTTTCGCGTTATGCCATTTGGTTTATGCAATGCAGCCCAACGTCTTGTTCGTCTGATGGACAAGGTGATTCCCAACGAGCTACGGTACAACGTCTTTGTGTACTTGGACGATTTATTAGTTATTTCCCCAGATTTTTCAACGCACTTGAAATATCTGCGACAAGTGGGCAAATGCTTAAGGGAAGCGAACCTGTCAATCGGACTGCAGAAATCAAAATTTTGCTTCAAGGCATTAAAATACCAAGGATTCAATATTGGTGGCGGCACGCTTCGCATGGACCCCGAAAGGGTTATAGCTATTAAACGAATCTCCGTGCCTCGGTCGCGCAAAGAAGTTCGCTCATTTTTGGGGACAGCAGGTTGGTACCGGCGATTTATGCGAGATTTCGCGATTATGGCCGCACCACTGACCGAAATGTGAAAAAAAAAAGATAGTGGAAAGTTTGTATTAGGTGACGAGGCAACGCAAGCCGTTGAACAGTTGAAGACCGCCCTGACCACGGCCCCAGTGCTCGTGCACGCGGATTTTGCCAAGCCTTTCTTCGTGCAGTGCGATGCGTCTCAGTTTGGCGTGGGAGCGGTGTTGTTTTAAAAAGACACTGAGGGTCAGGAACGACCCATAGCCTTACTTTCAGCCAATTTGAACAAACACCAACGGAACTATTCCGTCACTGAAAAGGAGTGCTTAGCGTCGGTACTGGCCATAAGAAAGTTCAGACCCTACATAGAAGGGATGACTTTTACATGCATCACTGACCACGCCAGCTTAAAATGGCTGATGTCCATGAAAGACCTAAGCGGGAGACTAGCTCGTTGGTCATTGCAGCTGCGAAGCTATGACTTTACCATCGAGCACCGTAAAGGCAGTGAGAACGTGGTAGCCGACACTCTATCGCGCAGTGTCGAAGCAGTGGGAAAGGTTTCAGAAGGCCTTCTCCAATTTGCGACCACCGAGTTCGAATCCGCGGAATATCAGGCGTTGCTCGAACAAGTAAGGGCGAGTCAAGACAAACTACCAGACCTGAAGGTTGAAGGAGATTTGCTTTTTAAGCGCATGGGGTTCGTCCACTTAGAAGACGAGTTAGAAGGCACCGTGTGGAAATTGTGGGTACCAAGCTCGTTGACAGTCGGCTTAATAGCGAAGGCTCATGTAGATGAGACGGCTGGTCATGGGGGTGTTGTGAAAACGCTAGAGACCTTACGTCGGCAGTTTTACTGGCCTGGCATGGCTAGTCAGGTAAAGGATTGGGTAAGACAGTGCGTGACATGCAAGGAAGTCAAGGCACCGAAGTTCCGCATGCATGTGGGTCTAGGAAATGAGGTAGTGACCGAGCGACCCTTCCAAAAACTGTACATTGACTTCCTGGGAAAGTACCCACGTTCGGGCAAGGGCACGCTTGGATATTCGTGGTAGTCGACTATTTTTCAAAATTCTCTTTCTTGAAAGCAATGCGAGAGGCTACGGCTCTTAACGTAGTGGATTTTTTAGTCTGCGAGGTTTTCTATAAGTTTGGAGTACCCGAGGTAATCCACTCTGACAATGGACGACAGTTCATATCAAGTACATTCCAAAACATGATCTCAGCTTTCGGCATCTCGCACATGCGCACTGCGGTCTACGCGCCACAGAGCAATGCAAGCAAGCGAGTTAATCATACAGTGTTGTCGGCGATCCGGGCGTATCTAGAGCAAGATCACCGCGAGTGGGACCTCTACCTTCCGGAAATAGAGGTGTCCATACGAAATGCCATACACACAGCGACCGGGATGACTTCTTTCTTTGCCGTTTTCGGACATTATATGTTCCTAAATGGGGCATGCTATAAATTGGCTCGTAGGTTAGGATCTCCGGATGATCATGAGATTTCTCATTTGCACCAAGCAGACAAAATACGCCTGATTAGACAGCGAGTCCAAAGCCAACTACACCAGGCTCACGAAAGAAGTCATCGGCAGTACAACGCTCGAGCCCGGGTATTCCAGGCGGAACCCAGCCAAGAAGTCTACCGACGCAATTTTGTGCTGAGCGATTCTGTGAAAGCTTTTAACGCCAAATTTGCAAGAAAGTTCGTTAAGGCCAGAGTATTGCGGCGAGTAGGCAATAATTCGTACCTGCTGGAAGCTTTACAAGGGAAGCCCCTAGGAGTGTTCCATACGAAGGATATACGGGTGTAGATCAGGGTCGTGGGTGTGGCCTACGTTGGGCATTCTAATTAGCCGGCTGGTCGAAACAGTATAGAAAATGCGCACACAGATTCTATTGTAACGGTCGGGTACGCGTTTACAATAATCTGCGTGGTGATGTTGCATTTGACGTTATCGGCAGCAACGAGGGTTTGCTTAGTTGGTTGCGTGCGATAATATCGGCCACGCCGATATCTTTTTGTCATATGGTCAGTGTTCACACATGAACACGTGACACCGAGTCTAAATTTGACCCTCGGTAAAATTAAATCTCACACGATCGTGTACGACTGCAGCCAGCAGCATAATAATAGATAGCGCACTTGTGGTCGCTTAAGATTGTAAGAGCGATCTACGCCAAGAAATGTCATATTAGAAACATAAGTAGCAAGTGTAAAAAATAGCCTAATTAAACACAATAGCTTATGACCGCTGCTGCCGCATGCATTGACAGCAGGCCTAAATTAAGACACTCTGCTAGTATATAAGACATAGGATTCGTAAGAATAAAATCAGAATCTTACAAGTACACAAATTGGACATATCCGTTCATTTGGTCCTCCGAGCAGTGCCGGCATTTCGGCACGCTTGTTTATAAAGACCTTCGAGCAGTGCCGGCATTTCGGCACGCCGAGCCACAAAAAAAAAATATCGAGCGGTGCAGCCAAGCGCAGCACGCCGAAAAAAAAATATCGAGCGGTGCAGCCAAGAGCAGCACGCCAAACCAAAAAAATTGTTGGGCGGTGCAGACAAGAGCAGCGCGCCGAACAGAAGACCAGACAGCAAAGGAGAGCGAGATCCAATGCTAGAAGGTGACCAAGGCCCATCCAGAGGGCAAACTCTTCAAGAAGTACTCCTCCCACGACCCACACCAGCGGCGCTTCAAGACGGGACACCTAAAAAATAAGAAGGAGCCCAAGCATCTGGACGAGGAGAAATTAGTAGCGCTTACCAACAAGCGCTACAGAAAATCATCGCAGAAGAGCCACAAGCAGGACCGAAGCCCTTGTCAATAGAAGAATATTGGGCAAGGCAACCAGCGGCCAGAGCAGCAGCAGCAGCACGTAAGGCAAAAGAGGAAAAACTTCTGGCAATCCCGTCCGCCAAAGCCCCAAAAAGGAGAGGGGGCCTAAAAGCGAAACTGCTACAGGAAAGAAGAGCCCTATTAGAACGAGTCAACTGGAAGCCACCACCAGCGTGGGACATAGCCACGACATTGTGGCTACGAATAGACGCAATCGAGCGTCATGTAAAACACAACAACATTAACAATAAAATGAGAGTGCGCCTTGTAGCGCACCCTTGCGAAAACGGCGGCAAGATCGCCTCGCAATAAAACAAAAATTTTTTTTTAAAATACAGTCCATTGTAGCAAAAGTAAAAGTTTAAATTAAAATTGAAAAGAACCTTTTATGTAAAATAAATAATAAGTTTTGTTAAAAATATGTTGTCAGACAAAGTCATAGAATTGTTGACGAAGCAGTCACAATTGGTGGAAAGAATCAGAGAGATAGAGGGTGGTCAAGGGGGCGAGTTAGAAGAAATAGGAGAACTGCAAAAGCAGTTTCAAACCAATCACAGCGTATTGTGTAAAATTGGAGTAGTCGATCATGACTACTTCAATAAGAAACAATACGACGTAATAATGACAGTTATAGGCAAAATTAAAGAAATACTTTCAGGTGGCCTAACTAGCAAAATACCCGAAGAAAAGGCGAAACCAGTTCGCCAAGATAGGACAATGCCTAAATCAGAAGCAATGGAGAAGAGGGCCAATGATTTCGACAGGCAGGAAGATGTATTGAACAAATATTTAGAGGAAACGCAGGTGGACATTAAGGAAAACAACAGTAAAATGTTTGGATTGAGGAAAAGAAAGGTAGTATTTCTTTAGGAAGAAATACAAAAAGAAATACAATTCTTTAAAGAAAAGTTTGACAGCAACGTAACGTTTGATAGGGAAATTAAAACGCTAGATTTCGACGTACAGAACACGGTAGAAGAACTAGCAAAACAGGTTCAAGACAAGTGTCACCCAAAAATGGAGGGCTGCCATGTCAAAACAGAGGAGCTACCAATGCTCCCGAAAATGCAGGTCCCCACCTTTTACGGGGATTCCAAAGAATGGGATCTCTTTGCCGAGTTGTTTACAGAGTTGGTTCAATCAAGAGAGGTTTTTGAGTCCAGCTCTTAAATTTAACTATTTGAAAACGGCATTAAAATGAGAAGCAAGATGCATGGTGTCGCATTTGCTAATAGGCTCCGCAGAAAATTTCAATGCGACTTGGGAATTATTAACCAAGCGTTATGAAAACAAAAGGAAAATATTTTCCGAACAATTAAATAGGCCTTTAGAGTTGCCAGGACTGAACAGTGATTCAGCAAAGCACATTAAAGCATTTATTGATTCAATTAATGAATCAATACATTTAATAAAATTGAAAACGGTCTCATCAGAAGAGTTTAATAGAGAAACGTTGCAATCATATGAAAATCATGTTAAAAGAACAAAAGAAGTTCAAAAATTGTCCGACGTAATGGAGTATTTAGAGCAAAGGTTGGATGCTCTAGGCTCATTGAAGGATGAGGAGAAAAAACCGAAAGTCAATAGGGACTTTTCGGAAAATTGCCCAATTTGCAAAGTAGCAGGGCATTATGCATTACAATGCTTTATATTTAGAGGCATATTCCCAGTAGATAGGGCAGAAGCCGCAAGAAATGCACAATTATGTTTAAAGTGCTTAAAACATTCAAGTGCCAAGAGGTGCACAAGTGAAATTTTATGTGCGAAATGCAACAAATACCACCACACAATGCTTCACTTTGAAAGAAGAGAGAAAGTGAACACATGCGTGGCTGAAAGGCAAGCGCTATTAGCGACAGCAATTGTCAGGGTAAAATCAGCTACCGGGGAATATGAAAAATTGCGGGCACTAATTGATAGTGGGTCGCAAACTACTATCATATCTGAGGAGCCAGTCCAGATACTGAAGTTACCTAGATTGAGGGCGATCACAAAAATTAGTGGAGTATCTTCAACAGAGTCTAGTGTATCAAAATATAAGGTCAAAGTTTGTGTGGATACTTTTGACCCAAAAAAGGAGCCGCTTACAGTAGATGCAATAGTTTTGCCAAAACTGATGAAAGCGCTCCGAATAAAATCAATAAATATTGAAAAAATTAAATGGGAAAGATATATATTAGCTGATCCGCAGTTTAATAAACCAGGTCGAGTAGATATAGTTATCGGAACTGACCTGTATACTCACATTTTAAAAAATGGAGTAGTAAAAATAGACGGACTTCTCGGCCAGAACACAGAATTCGGGTGGATAGTGTCTGGGTGCACGAAATCCGAAGAAAAAATAGTCGCGTCGGCCATTGAGGTTAAGGCTTTAGAGAGATTTTGGGAGTTAGAAGAAGAAGATAAAGAAATTGCAGAAGCAGATATCTGCGAGAAAAATTTTATTGAAACAACGAGAAAAGAACCAGGTGGAAGGTATACAGTTACCATTCCGTTAAAAGAAGAGAAAGAGTTAGGTGAATCAAGACCACAAGCAATGGCACGGTTTCTGAACTTAGAGAAAAAATTCACTAGAAATACAAAGCTGAAGGAAAGTTACAGCAACTTCTTAAAAGAGTATATGAACTTAGGACATATGGTCGAGTGCAACGAAAAGGGGAAGTATTATTTACCTCATCAAGCAGTGTTAAGAGACTCTAGTCTTACAACCAAGTTAAGAGTAGTTTTCGATGCATCCGCAAAAACCACGAACAACAAAAGCTTAAATGATATAATGTGGGTGGGACCCAGAGTCCAAATAGATATTTTCGACGTCGTTTTAAAATGGCGCAAGTGGCAATTTGCCGTCGATTAATGTTGACAAAAAGGATCAACAATATTTGTATATTCTGTGGAGAGAAACTCCGAATAAGCAGATTAAAAACTATAAACTCACAACGGTTACATACGGTACCGCGTCAGCCCCTTACTTAGCAACAAGAGTGCTGGTAGATATAGCAAATAATTGTAAAGATCAAATCATTGGGGAAACAATCAGAAATGACTTCTATATGGATGATCTGATGTCAGGAGCAGACTCCATACAAGATTGTCAGAAGAAAATAAAAGAAATTTCTCGGGAGCTAGCGGAATCTGGTTTTAATTTGAACAAATGGATTGCAAATAAACAAGAGATTATAGAACATGTAGAAAATACTGAGGAAAATAAAGTAATAGCGATCGAAGGAAATGAATCTATTAAAACACGGGATATACAAGAGGGACAAAAAGACGAAAACTGTCTTCCAGCAAGCTGGCCCTTGGGCAAAGTGGAAGAGGTACATAGGGGAAAAGATAACAAAGTCAGGGTAGTAAAAGTAAAATTACAGGATGGATTTACCACAAGACCAATTACAAAAGTGTGCCCGCTTATCGGCATACAGGCACAAGACAAAAATGAAAATGAGCAGAAAACTAATGAGGAGGAAAGGTGAAGCTCTAAGAGATGCAAAATCTCAAAGTTAGGATTGATGATGATGATGATGATGATACTCATGCTATTCTGCCAAGTATCAAATACAACTCCGTTAAGGGAACAAGAATGAAAATGGGTGATAGAAAAATTTAATAGCTCCTCAGCAATGTATCTAGATCCAATGGGTGAGGTAGAGGTGTCATCCTCATGGGATCTGGTCATATTTTACGACATGAAACCATATTTTGAAATGCTGCATAGAGGAAGCAAGTTAGTGCAACAAATGAGAGTGGTTTGTGAGAAACTCCATGGGTTTGAAGATCAGTGTAACTTGATACTCAATAGCACACAAAGACAAATTGCGGAATTAGAAGAAAGTAACGAACTATTTACAACCAAAATCAATCCAAACCTTTTAAAGCCCAGACAATTAAGGGACGAAGTCTCCAAGATAAAAGATACCCTATCCGAAAAATTAGTACTTCCAGGAAAGAGAAAAAATACAGAAATTAA